AATGGTTTTACATTGTTTTGATATACTTAATGCTACAGTATACGAAGTTGTACTCAAGGATTTCAAGGAAAGAGACAATATGGTAACTACTTTTGGGTCGGGATTATCTGGTGGTGAAACACTATTCTGCTTAAATGGTTATGTTTTGATCTGCGCTGTTTCACTGTTATGCCCTCTTTTATCTCAATCTCCACTCCATTATTTACTTTTTATTTTTATCCGTTTAATTAAAGGAAAAAAAATAGCAGGATATATTATAGTGACCTACTTTGACTTTCCGTTATCTCAATTTGAAGCCCTGTATTACTCTCACCATCTTGTTTTTGACTGATGTTCCCCTATTCTGTTTTGCTGGATAGTATTAGGTTCGAAAGTTTAGGCATCAGCTGTGAAGATAATGAGATTCATTATAACACCCATTCTCGTTGACTTTTATCTACTTTTGAAGACCTACAATGTCTCCAATGGTTTGGTTTTGTCAGTTTTGTTCTCTACTGTTTTGTTCAATTGTATTATAACTAATGATATAGGCAATTCTATTAGAGATAGTGGGAGGCATTATGGTAACCTTTGTTGATCACCTTGTATTATGTTTTTACATTATCTATTATGTCCACCCTTTTGACTTGACTGATTCTGTTCTGTTATGTCACATTTGGTTTTACTGTCTTCCAAAAAAGTAATAAGAACCGTGGGAGCAATGAAACCCAAAATGTGTAATAGTCATTGTACAAAAGAGAGGAAAAGAAAGTGCTCTAAACTATATAACTGCATGTATATTTAAGTGTATAAGATAGAAAATGATATCACAGAGTTTTATTGGATCATTGAACAGAACTGTTTGCAGTATCATTGTTGGAATGTCCACTTTACAAGCTTTAATTTTCTGACTTGAACAATTATTTCTAAGATGACAATATGTAATCCATTAACTAGTGATTTCCTACTGTTCATTTTTTTCTGTAAATCTGTATAACTTGTACCCTTTCTCTGCTTTTTTTTCTTTTCTCCTTAAATAAAATTTAAAAAAAATGAAAATAACAAGAGAAAGCATCGTAACTATGTTAGATCACCTAATATTGTGATCTTATGTATTTTTTTCATTGCATGTTTTTCTAAGAATTTGTTTTGTTGTCTTGTTATGATCTGTTTTTCCCTATAATACAGAGAGGGTAGATATACATGTAGAAATTCACACATGGGAAGAATTTTTAAAACTACTATGGGAACAGATTATATAATGCAAGATGTAATGAACAGATACTCTGAAGAAAAGACACTAAGAAACCCAATGCTAATTCTGTAGCATTATGATATAAAATCTAACAATACTATTATTCACTGATCAGAGTGCTCTTAGTCTAGTCTCTTAAGTTCAATTTCAGCATGTGTAAAGATAAGGATGGCTACTATGAAGAGAATGAGAGACACTATGGTAGTTATTATTGGCTTCCCCAATATCAGGTCTTGAAGACCTAAAAGCCTTCATCATCCTGTAATGATTGGATTAGTTCTATAATATGCAATACGTATTCAATGTGTGTGAAGATGGGTACAACTATTAGGAAGAAAATTAAAGACAATAAGATAGACAGTGAAGATCTCCAGTGGAATTGCTTTGAAATCTGTATTTCTTTAAATTGTTTCTTTGTGAACTGTTTTGTTCTGTTTTGATGTGTTTAATCTTACCCTCTTTAAGGTAAAAAAATAAGTGTGTAGGACTGATAACCATATTACTAAGTTTTTGTGGATCGTTGAACAGAACTGTTGGCAGGTGTCACTATTTGAATGTCACTTTATGAGTTTTAATTTTGTAACCTGAACAACTATTTCTAAGATGACAATATGTAACTTATCAACTGGTGATTTCTTACTGTTTATTTTTCTCTAATTCTGTATTATTTCTACCCTTTTTTTCTTCATGTTTTTTGTTACTTTCTCTTTAAATAAAAAAAAAGAATGATCACATTGACACTTTTATGGGTAAAGAGATACAACTATAGAGACCATACTCATAAGTGAAGTATATCAAACTCATGAATAAATACTGTATTATCTATCTAGTGTAGGAAATGGTAAGAGCACATAAGTAACAAAAGCCTAAATAAATATAGTGAAAAGATAAGAATCTGCTCAAAGAAAAAAAAAAAAAAAAAAAAAAAAAAAAAAAAAAAAAACCTCAGGGAAAAGAAGAAAAAAAAGAAGGGAAAAGAAAAAATATCTAATTTGTATAAACACACAAAATAGCCAAGATGATTGTGCTACTAATTCTATTATTTCTTGGAACAAAACAGTTAACACTCATATGATTGGATCAATTTTGCATGTTTATGTCTGGTAATGTGAGTAACTCTTGAAGATCACTATGTAAAATAACAACCTTAGTTATGTTCCTACCACCTTATTTTGAAGGCCTATATTGTCATAGTTTTGGGCTCTATGCTATTATTATTTATTTTTATTTTTTGTTTCTTGTTTTTCTAGTAATTTGTTTTGTTTTTTTCGCTCTAATGCTGAAAGGATAGATGTACATGTAGAGGCTTATACATACCTAGAATTTTTCCTAAATAGTTTTTGAGAATTGATTTTATTATGTGTGATGATACGAACAACTACTTTGAAGAAAAAGAGACATTATGGTATCCATTGTTGATTTCCTATCATCATGCTATGAAGTCCAGTAGTGCTTTTATTCTTTGTTTACAGTGGTTTTAGTCTGTTTTGTAATATTTAATTTCAACATACATGAAGGTATAGACAACAATTTTGAAGAGAACAAGAGACATTATAGTAGTCATTGTTGATTTTCCTATGATCTGGTTTTGAAGACCTGTAATGCCTTCATTATCCTGTTTTGATCAGTTTTATGTTGTTTTGTTTTGTATGAATTCATTGTGTGTGAAGATATAAACAATTACTTAAAAGAAAATGAGATGTTATGATAGAGCCACTGTTGACCTCCTGTTGTCTTGCATGGAAATCCTGTGTTACTTACATTGTTTTCTTCTGATCTGTTTTGTTATGTGTTGTTTTACCCTCTTTAAAATAAATAAATAAATTCTTGTTGAACTGAGAACATGATAATGTACAATAAGAGAATGATTTTTAATTTCATTGAAATCATACATCCAGGTCATTTTCCTATATAAATCCAATAGTTCTACAGGATTGCCCTTACCTGCAAGATTCTGACAGTTGCTTATGAAAAATTCTGCCTAACATTACAGCACACTAGCATTAAAGAAACATAGAAAAGCCAATGGTATCACCACTTAGTAGCAAAACACAAACCATCTGTTACAAACAGAAGACTAACTACATATCATAAATATTATCCAGTTGCAAGATAGATTTTGGTTACTGGCCATGGGGGACACCTTTCTTGCAAAGGCTAGAGGGTTAAAGAAAAAACTGAAGGCATTAATCATGCCAATACATAGTTGGGAATTCCAAGCTTGTGATTCTGACAAATTTCCATCTACAGCAATTTTTTCACCACTTCTGTAAACAGCAATTTTAGCATGAACTCCTACATTCTCTCCTTTTATACTGGGCACAGGTTCAGAATATCCAACACACTAAATGTCTTTTTATCCCCTTATTATTAGGTATTCTCATGTCACTTAATCTCACACACTAGCTTTCTAATGCCTCCATTTTTATATCCCTAGAATGAGGTACCCAAAGATAGCATAACAAACAACTCTTAAATTATCACCTATACCCTGAGAAAAAGTTTTGGTCTTCTAGCAAACAGTATTTTTCTAGGAACCTGAATGAGATGCTGTGACACATGGAGAAGAGCCAGGAATCAGTAAAGAGCTTTTTAAAGGCCATCTTCCTTTTGGTTCCACAGCTCACAAAACTTCCTCATGGATTTTTGTGCTATTTACTCCTTTCTCACTAAGCTGGTACAGTCCAGTTAGTGAGCAAACTGTCCTATAATTTCAGGGACCTCGTGTTTCCATATTGACTGGAAGAAGAATTAAATAGTTATACTGAAGCAGCTCCCCTCCCTGGTAAGTGGCTGTGGTGTGGCTGATCGCGGCCCCTCAAAGGGTAGAACCACCAGTGTCTCCTGATATCTGCCCCATGTTGGAACTTAGGACGCTGGGAAACCAAGAAAGCAGCTCGCCTTCCTGGTGAGCGGTGGCAGTGTGGCAGACTGTGGCCCTTCCGGGGGGAGAACCACCAGTGTTTCCTGAGATCCACACCATATTGGAACTTAGGATGCTGGGATACCAAGCAACCAGCCTGCCTCCCTGCTCTGCTAAGCAATAGTGAACCTAGTGATGCATGTCCTAGAGTCAAACATCCCACTTCCCCTACCACCCTTCTCCAGTCCCCGCCATTAGCAAAAGGGAACCCGAAATCTGAGCATCTCTTGAGAGGTTGACCATAGCACGTAAGGGGGATTTCCTTCTACTATCTCTTTGAAGGCAAATATTTTTATTACTGTTTTACTTTATTCTGATTAATAGTACTACTCTGTTCAATATTCTGTTTTGATAAATTTTATAATGTTCTGTGTTTCATTTTATTTTGATATATGTGATTGAAAGAACACCTATTGTAAAGATAACGAAATATACTGTGATACCTATTACTGTTATTCTGGTAACCTGCTGTGAAGTTCTGTACCAATTTCACTGCATGGTCTCAGTTGGCTTTTAAAAAATAAATAAATAAATGGTCATACTATTGCACAAAATAAATGGTTTAAATGTTCCTCTCTGAGGCACTCAATTAAAAGTTTTAGAAAAGATGCTCATTCAAATCTTTGCAAATCATTGTAAACTGATTTTAACTAATTAAATAATGTACAGTAATGCCTCAATTCACAAACAACTCTATTCAAAAACAAGTTTGCAAACAGAAGCATTCAGCAAAACTTTGCTTTCTTTTTGTGAACTTCACATCAGGTGATGAACGCAATCACAGCCATTCCACCCATGAATACCAACCCAGTCATCTTTCCCAGAATTCTGGAATGAGTTAAGTTCATGAACCAAAATACCACTATATTTATTTATTTATATGTTCTTAGTACATGTGTGTAGTACATAATGTTTACTTTCCTTGTGGGAAATTGTTACACGTACGTTACATATCATATCCTAATTCATTTTTCAACCCCTATATCTAAGAGACTGTGAGGATTTCATGAACTGAATAGAGGTCTATAGTAAATTATTTCTGCTGGAAAACTCGGCTATGCTACATCAAGTAACAAGCATTTTCTATGTACTTGTGACATTTTAAAATGCAAATTTGTAAACTCTCTTTGATAGACTGTGTGACAGATGTTTTTGGATAATTCTTGGAAACTAAGAAAATTAGAATTTTTAATTAAATTTTTACTCCCTATAAAAGGACATTAGAGCCAGGTGTAATAACACACACCTATAACCCGAGTACTCAGTGAAGCAGAAGGATCACTGTGAATTTGAGGCCACAAAGTGAATTTGAGCTACAAAGTGAGTTCAAGACCAGCCTGAAATGCATAGTGAAACCTGTCTCAAAAAGACCAGGAAAAAAAAGGAAATTAGAAATTCAGTTACACATCCAAACCTAATTGAGAAAATAAATGTTAAGTCTTCTTAAAGAAATTTTGTTATTGCATTGTGATATACAATCTAGAAATGACAGAGGTCTATATATACACAAAAATTTTATTGCTATATATTTAGAAGTTTAATATACATGACTTGATCATTACCACCTATATTAAAACTTGAACCTCTTTTTCATTTCTTAGTATATTTTTGTACTATAAGGCTTCCTCTGGCTTCCAGGCTGCAGAAACTTCTTCACATTAGGCAGGTTACTGACTCTGGTTTTTAGAGCCTGCAACATACAAATCAAAATCTCATGGCAGATCTTAATTTCAAAAACAACTATTAACAAAACCCTGGGAGCCCCCATCCCACCCCTACAAAAACCCATCAGCTGCAGTATAGAGCTGGAAACACACAGTGAACAGAATTCAAGAAGCAGAAAGCATAGCTCAATAGCACTTCCTGAAACACACCTTTTAATTTTTCATTTAGTGGTAATTATCCCTGTCCTCTCAGACATAAACACTTGATTTTTATCCTCGCAACTCACAGAGAACAATGTGTCTGCTAGATATAAACAAATAAATGTATCTAAGCAAGGAAATGTAGAGTTAGAAAAACTCAAGTTGAAAAAAAGATAGGAAATATTAATCAGGGGCTAGTCATAGCCAACATTCGCACTAATGGTACTGGTAGGGCTTGCTTGTTTGTAGGGTGCTGTGTGGGCTGGGAGGACAGACCTATGGAGAGAAATACACAACCCCTGGTAGTGAAAGCCAGAGCAGAGGAAAGGACATCAGGTAAACAGGGCAATGGTGGAGCCGGAAGACACAGGGCTTTAAGCACTTGCCCTGTTAGACAGAAAATAATTTTGAAGTAGCATACACCTTACATTTCCTTACACAAAAAGATTAATTTCCTATCTCATATCCAAGGCCTAGGCGCTCACATTGGAGGCACGGGGAAGGAAGTTGAAGGCCTGGAGAAGGCTGGAGGTGCAAACTTCACTATGGAACTAAATGAGATTCATAGTGGGAGATGTGGGCTGCCTCTGTGAGGGTAGTGGAATAGTCACCTGCAGCAGGGTGAAGCTGGTCAAAAGACTGGCATCAAACTCTTCAACCATGTACAAAAGTTCAGTCAGGAGAATATCGGCCTTGCTCAGCTTGTTGCCAACAAGATAGTCTTGTCCATGGCTCTTCAATACCTGGAGAATTTGAGGAGTCAAAATCATAAATATGTGCCGACTGGGTCCTAATTTCTCCCTGAGCCTCTCAGCCTGACTTTTTGCCTCTTCTGACTCCCTTAGTTTGCTTGGTGCTCCAGATCTTTCACCTGACCCATGAGGGAGGCTAAGAAGTGGCCTCTGCTCACTCCTACATCAAACCCAGGTGCCACTCTCATTCTCATATCCACGCCCCAGTTGTGCCCAAGCCTGTGCCCACACCTTCTGCATATACCAAGCCTTCAGCTTCTGCTGTACCATGTTTCCATTTGCTCACAACCTGAAATCTGCATATTTGCTTCTCCCCTCCTCTGTCCGCATCTCCCAGGAGCCCTGGCTCTAATGTCATGCTGGCTCCCTTCACCACTGCGGTCACCTGAGTACCGTCCTTTCTCCCTTCTCTGCTTTCCTCAACTCCTGGCTATCTCTCTGGGATATGAGCTAACCTGAGGGAACTCAAACTCATTATCCCCTTTGCTCCTTCTTTATAGTAGACTATAATCTCCATGAGGAGTTCTCAAGGAATAAACAGAGCCGATGCTGCAACTTAAATTGTAATGCATGAGAAGTTACGCATTTCACTGCTGGACGGAGACATGACGGATCTGCTGGGTATTAGTTTTGTTATCTGGGCAGTGACTATGCATTCATTCAGTATTGCATTTATTTCAACTTTCACTGATGTTTAAATTTATATACTAAGGCTTATGAAAGTATTCTTATTAAGTATTTTAGCACTAAGTGCTGTCATAGGGGATAAAAAGGAAAGCAGATGATAGCACCTTTTAAGTAGTAATTTCTCTGAAACATTTAACATGTTTTTGAATAGTTACTTCATATAAAAATAGAATACAATATCAAATGTCTTAGTATAATATACGCTGTCCATTTTCTGCACGGAGTGCTTTGATTGCATAGTACCTGATTTAATTTGCAGCTGAGAATCTGTCACCCTGTGATGTATCCTAAGCTGTCAGCACCACATACTCTACAGAGGTATATTGAGGATTGGATCGCTTTTAAGATTATCCTTTCTTTTATTAGATAAAATCAGGAATAGATTGGCTCATTGAATAAAGGAAAAATAATGCAATGTTTTATGAAATGAGTACTGATGGGTTAGTTCTCTAGTACATTTGCAGGACTTTTGTGTCTCTTATAATCATTTCTGGTTCTTTGTTTCTGTTCAGCTTAAATTCACATGATTGTCCTTTTGAAAAGTTCTTTTGTTACCTTCACAAAGCCTTAACTAAGGTAGGGACTATATCTGCAACGATGGACCTTTATTTCCTTAGTTTGCATGTCTTTCATCTCAGGTCTTGGAGCCATGTACCTCAGTCCTGTAGATGATCTTTTATAATCCCCTAGTGTCCCCTCTTTCCTTCCCTCTACCAATATACTTTGTAAAGACAAGTGTCTCCCTGTACTTGGGCCAGAACATTTTGAGATCCACTGTTGTCATCAAGTTGCTCTGGAATGAAAGTTCAGGCCATTCTTCAGGGGCCACACAACCTGGAGTGTGACTCACAGACTATTACTCTCCAAGTTGTCTTATGACCATGAAATCCTGTTGAGTGCTGAATTCTAAACCGTGTGTAACAAAGTGAACATTGACTCGAAAATTATACCTTGGTGATTACCCTACAATGTGGCTTTCCAGTCCACCCTTACATAATTCCTTCACCTTCAGGCTCTGCTCTGGTTTTCCAAAGGTTCACCAAATGTAAAGGTGAAGGCTCTGGGAGCACCCAGCCCTGTTCCTCCTGACCTCCGAATTTTAGAAAAACCCTAAGCAGACTCACTTACTTTTTCGAAGGCAGGGAAGAAACGATTCTTTGCTCTGTCTTTAATCAATGATTTTGCAGCATCTCTCTGCTCCGTGGGACTTGACATCAGTTTTATGAACAGTTCGAATAAATCTGCCATTCCTTCTGTATACATATCAATGCTGAAAGACAGCACATCCAACAGTCAAATTTTCCTTATTAGTCTTTACAGAAAATACATGAAATTTTTGCCATATTCATGACCAAGTACCAGTAACAAAGAGCATTTATGGAGGGACCAGAGTCACAATGAAGGAAGATCTTGATGTAATCACTGCATATCATCACTGAGAGTATAAACAGCATTTGCAGCTGTGTGCCTTGTGCGTGCAAAACCTCCTGTGTATCCTATGTGCTTCAAATGTAGACTCATGATAGTACACCTGGCACAACCTTTCAGGCACGTGTCTGCTGTCTCATATCGTTTTTACCCAGCACAGGCTCATCGCCATGTCCAATGTTACAAGTTTCCCAATTATTTCCCATGAAACAGGTTTCCACAATCTTCTCCACACACGTTCTTCCAACTCTGGCCTTGTTTCCATCGCACATGACTCTGCTTTGTCCAGCCCAGAGACATATATGCTGCGGCAGGCTGTTTGCTATCACTGAGAGGTCGAAAAGTTTCACCGTCACTAATCTAGCCCCTTCCTCAGTGTGTTTCTTAAATTTAGTTGAACTAATGCATGCCATGGAAGCCAGTTATTTCTGATTTTTCAAGCTGTACCTACAACCATTTTTAAAAATTTATTTGACAGTTTTATTGTCACACCTTCGCATAGCTAAATTGTCCATGCTTGAAATATTAATATTTGGTATTCTTACATATTCATAGAACTCTGAAAACATTAGCATTCACTATTCAAATATTTTGTTAACTCACCTGCAAAAGTGTTCTGTGCTATGGGCAGTCACTGCTCATCTCTCTGAAAGTGCAGCACTTTGCATCTCTATAGACTTTAACAGTGTGAACATTTCATGCAAAGTCACAGAACAAATTACTTTTTCAGTCTCATTTTCTTACTCTATATAAAACAATGCAATGTGTATCCTTGTTTATCATGCATCACCACTTCCTCTCTTTGCATTACCATTGTCTGCCTCTAGCATATTTTGTTCTTTTATTTATCCTTCACTTATTGTTCCTGTGTTATAGATCTTCAGTATGCTTTTACTTTGGAAAATTATGAATAATGCTGCTAACAATATATCTAAACAAGTATATAGCACCTGGAAGGCTGAGGCAGAAGGATCACTGTGAGTTTGAGACCACCTTGAGCTTACAAAGTGAGCTCAAGGCCATCCTGAACAGCAGAGCAAGACACTGTCTCAAAAAGATAAAAAATGTATCAATGTTTATGCATTTTGTAAGGGTATATACCACTGTAGAGAAATTTCTGAATAACTCTGCACTTAATGTTTTGAGGAACTGCCATCAATTCTGTACAGTATATTATTTCAATCAAGCAGCTCCATCAAAACAGGAAGAGTACTTCCAACCCCCCCCCCCGGACTTGGTTTCTTGAGATTCACCCAGGTTGTTGTATTCTATTGAAAGTTTCAGGTGGCCCATACAACATGGGCACTGGCTGCCACTAACTCTTATCAAGCTGACCTGTCCATAGGATTAGCTGGTAAGTTAGGTGCCAGTTTCTCAATATTATACTTTTTGGAACTCGGGCTCTTCAGACACCAAGACTTCTCATCATCCTCAAACACATGTTACTTGTCCCAAGCTATTGGCTAAAACCCATTTATAATGTCCTGAGGACCTGATATTATGAGTCTACCATCCTCTTGATTTCATGCTTCACCAGTGTTTGAAAACTCTTCTGTGTCTGAGGATTAGCATGTTCTGATAGAATCAGTCATACTAATCTACAAACTTTACTCTTCTGTAATCTTATAGAACATAGTGATCTCATCTTGTATTCTTCCCCAATCATCTCACTATATCTATCCAGGACCGCTTTGTTACTAGTCATGATCCTCCTGCCATGGTCTTGCTTGCTAAAGATGTAATCTAAATCACCCCTGTATCATTTTCCCATGTAAGAACCAAAAATATACCATACAGGAGTCTCTCCTTCATGTCTTTCCCATAGAGGTTGTATTTGGTGGCGATGTAGTTGAGAATGGCTCTAGACTGCACCATCTTCATCCCATCCATCTCCACCATGGGTACTTGCTGGAACATCAGAAGACCATCTATTGGAAATAAGAAAGAAAAAACAGTGAAGTACAATAGATACCACTATTTCAGGTGGAAAAAATGATCATGGAAGTGATTAATGGGGAAAAAACTATTCCTTGGTCACCTTCAAGTAAAACAGAATTTTGTTCTTAATTTCCAGTAGTCTATCATTTTCCTGTCTCTCTTACATATGCTTTTTAGTTCACTGATTTTTTTCCATGTTTTGGTGTTTTGAGACAGGGTCATACTGTGTACTTCAGGCTGGCCTTGTACTCTAATGTAGCTCAGACCTGCCTCAAACTTGTGTTGCTCTTTCTGCCTCAGCCTCCTGAGTACTAGGATTATAGGCATGCACCACCATGCCTATCTTTGCTTATTCATTTGTCTTTTACTTCCCATCCATGTACATGCTATATCTCTTGTGATTTTTTGTGTATTATTTATTTTCATGAATATTTTAGAAATGTGTAGAGCGATGAAACAAGACTGACACTTGGATGTCATTTGAAGTGGAAAATTTCCAAAATAAGTCTTATAATGATCATGACATTTAAAGTAGGTTCTGTGGGAGGTGTCTACTTAGAGATGTCACCACGTATTCTGTCAAGCCTGCGATGGTTCTGAGATACTTACTTCTCATATGCAATAAATGAAAAAAGACAATGGCCCCATATATTTCTCCTCCTGTCATCTAATGAATGGCCCTGTGTGTGCTTCACTAGCAGGACAAGGTGTGACCCTGACTTGACTGTAACCCCATCACAGTAAAGAAAGAGAGAAGAGCAGTTAGAGAGCCCTGGAGATAATGCTGTGTATCCTCAGAGAGGTCTAGTCTTTTTCATAACTGAGAGAGTTTGTAGAGCTCCTTCAGGAACTACATTCCTTACATGTTACTACTTTTTACCTCTGTACCATCTCTTCTACAAGCCTTCCAATGTGTTGGCATTGCATGATATGTTGACCTCACTGGTTTAAGGAATGTCTACAGTTTTAGTAGAGCAAGATCTTGGGTGTGTCAAGGTGAATCATGTTTATCTGTTCTTCAGTACTCTATATGGCTCCTTCATCTCTCACACTGTTACCCTTCTCTGCTTCCTTCTTCCCATAATCTAAGTATCTTTGCTCTTGCACACACTTCTGCCATGATATTTCTGCCTTGAAGTAATCCAGTCCTGAACTGATTCCTTGATTACATGGACCAAAACAAACCTTTCTTCCTTTAGATTGTGGGTGTCAAATTATGTGTCTCAGTGATGAGAAAGTTAATGCAAAACAGTGGTACCAGAAAAGTGAGATACCTACGGAAACTGTACCATATGATTTAGAAGTCTTGGTTTGTGAGAGGAGCTGAAAAATATTTAAAATTCTAAACCTTAAAATACTATAAACAGATCTTGTTGAACAATTCTACTTAAAGCTCAGAACACCAGAATGCAGATAGTAAAGGCGAGACTCAGGATTTTTTATGTGGGAACAAAAGCTCCATTGGTATTTGAATTAAAATCCATGTGTATTACACTGTGGTACAAAAACAGATACTGTTTACATTTGCCCATGTCCTGAGACTTTTCAGGACACTGCAATTAAGGTCAGTAATTAATGTAGTGGCAGAAATTTCAAGATAGTTCAACTTTGAGTTTCTACCATGAGTACTTCTGACTGCTCTTAGACTGATTTCTCATAAGAATTAGAGGCAAAAAGTCAAGAAAAAATAATTTTGAATTTTAAAAAATGTTATTTGACTAATATCTGTGTGCCTTAGTTTTTGTCTCATCACTTAGACACAGCATAGAGCTAATGCAGAGGAGAAACAGTCCAAGGCAGGGCAGGCAGGAGGCACTGAGTCTTCCTTCTGCTTTCCATTTTATTTCATACAGTCTACAAGCTTATAAACTGGATGCCCATTATTCCCACCCAGAATGATGCAACCAGTGGACCAATACATTTACTGTACACCCTTAACCCATACTCACATACTCTAGATTCAGGCACCTCCAAGAAGCCCAATCTATGAGCACGTGAGGCTTTGAGTGGGTATCTAGATACAAGGCATGAAAGTTTGTGTAGTACAAAACCCCTTCATTCTTTGTATGAATTTGGTACACATACCCAAAATATTTCAAATTCTTTGTTTTTGTTTTTGTTTTTATTTTTGTTAACACGGGGTCTTGACATGTATTTCAGGCTGGCCTTCAACTCACTACATAGCTAAGGTTGGACTCAACCTCTCAGTGATCCTCCTGGCTCATTTCAGCAGAGCTGAGATCATAGATATGCACCACCACACTTGCCTTAATGCTGTTTTTCATCCCTTTTCCCTTCTTTCCCTCCCCATAGACCTATCTCTGGATTTCCTTCCTTTCTTTTTGCTTTTGTTTTTTTCTTGTTGCTTCTGTTATTTCTGTTTTTTATTTTGTGTGATGGGATATTGTTGGGAAGATTTTTTGTATTGTTCACATTTCTTATGTGGAGTTGCTACATGTTAATAGTTCAGCACAATTCCTTTAAAAAGGCAAAATTTTGGCCCAATAGGAACCATATATAAATTTAGGATTAAAAGAGGTGTGGTTGTTGAAAAGATTGGTCCTGTGAAAAGGAACTAAGTAATTTAAATAGGAACAAGAAAAACAATGACTTGACAGAACCTCAGAAATCAGGAAGATTCTACCTACTACAGGCTCAAATAAACAAATCTGTAAATATTTCATTTCAGTAGTGAGCCACTGGAATTCCTGCTTCAGAAAGGTATACTAGGATATTGTCACCCTGGGAATAAGTTTACCCTGCACAGCCCTTCTGGAATTCAGGGACTACAGCAACCATGGTGCAAGGGTATGTAGAAGCTACCCTTCTAACTGGAAGCCAATCTTGGCATTGTCGTCATGGTGTTGTTTTTCTGGCATGCATAATGCAAGAGTTGTATGTACAGGGAGGCTTCCACCCAGATTAAAAAAGAAGACCTAAGAAGCCAGGCAAAAGTTGCTGAGAAAGCAGTGTGGTACACTATGAGAATGAAGCCAAATGTGTAGTAGAGATACCAGAAAGTAAGAAGTGCCAGAAACATGAAACATCAGCTGAGAAAAGTTTCAGGCCATGAGTAGCCATTTGTGCTACAACTGGCTAGGTCAAAGGGATGGACCTGTCCGAGACCTTTGGAACTCACATTTTGTTATTATGTACCCCAACTATCTGATATAGGATTATAGACTTCATGCTTGTTTTGGTAGGGTTCAATCTTTGATCTGATTTTTCTTTCTTCCTATTCCTCCTTTTTAGGATGAGATTATTTACCCTGTATCAATTTACTTTTGAATTACAGAACTTGTTTTTTACTAACACAGCTCAGAGTTTGCCATGAGTGTCAGAAGACACTCCTTTGGCTTTTGAAAATACTGGAACCTCTGAGACTTTGTGAAGAAAATATTTCCTTTCAAGTTGTAGGTGTGATAGTTGTGTTCTGTAAGATGGAATTATGAACTTGCTATTATTTTTATTTGGAAATTAAACTTTGGGTGTAAAGTTCTCAAGGGGAATTTATAAGCATTAGTTCTGATATGCCTATGTCACTGGATTAAGAAATCCCTAGAAGATTAGCAGAATATGTCTGCACCTCGGCAATACATCTCTGGCACCATTCTGCTAGCTCTACTTCCTGGCCAAATTAAGCATATTTTCTCTGCCACACTCCTTTACTTCAATGTTTTGGCCTTGGAGGAAGTCAACCTTGGCCTGAATCCTCAGAACTGTGAGTCTCAAATTAAACCTGTCCTCCTTTGAATTGTGAGTGGTAGATATTATGTCTCAGTGACTAGAAACCTGAGTCATAAATGTTAAAAGCTTATTCTTGAAATCCTCATCAGAAGCATTCAGATTCCCAATCTTACCATTTCTTAACTTTTCCAAATCTTCTTGACCCATTAGCAAATTCTCTTCAAACTGAAAGTAGAAAAAGTAAATAAAATGTTATTAGTTCATGCCATAATGTTATAGTCTTTAAGCTTGAGTTGTCCCTGAAATAGGGTTAACATAAAGAAGTAAAAATTTCTAAGATTGACGTGGAATGCAAATGTGTCTTTTTATGGCCAAGTGAAAATTTATGCTAGATTCTTGAGAAAATGATGGTCCAGAGATTTAATTCAGTGGAATAGGTTCCTACCTGAAAGCACAACATCAAGAGTTCAATCTCCAATACCAAAAGAAATGAAGAAGAAAATCACATAGATAATCATACACAGCTGCTCATGTCTAGAGTTCATCTCTGCCTTGACAACATCCATGGTCAGGTCACAATCTGGGAGGGATGTCCCTTGAAGGTAGAGTCTGGAAATTTTTTCTATTCACAAGTGTTTAGTCTCCCAGTAGAATTCGATAATGTCCAGTGCTATAAGAACAGAACTTTTGTGCCCTCATCATGGTGTATATCATGGACCAATGACTAAGATTCTGTTCCCAGAGGACCCTTTATGGAAATGATATCACTCTTTTCTTTCTCATAGTCTAAAAGAGGAATTTTTCATCATGAAACCATTGTGAAATTGGAAAATAGATTCCTAAATTGTTTAGTAGTATAGACGTTATTGATTTCCCTGCTCTAAAACAGTTAATGCAGGCAATCAAAAGTATGTGCCACCAGTTTACACAGCATTAGGGATCATGTTTGGTCACCACAGGAGGATGACCAAGATGAGATAGTTAAGGGTGGAGAGGCTGAAAGGTTTGGGCAATGAGAACCCAGAAGACCTGAGCAGTAGTCTCCAGGCAGCCCGTGTCCACCACTCTCTTCAGGCATGGTGGGAAGAAAAAGAGGAAGCCTTCCGTGCTGACGACATTGCCCCTACATCCCCCTCCTTTGCTGAACTCATCCTTCCCAGAAATTTGAAGTGTACATCAGAACATCAACCTTCTGTCTGGATGATGGTGAAACTTGATTACTCCTTTATAGAAGGAACAAACCTGGAAGAGTGCTAGCACACCACTTGGATTAGTTTGTGCACTTGTTTATTGACTAACTGAGAAAGAATGAGGATTCATACATTTATGAAGGATTGAGTGTTCCCCAGGCTTAAATCAGCATATTATTATTTGTGTTAAAGGGGTCACATTAGAAGTCCCCTTCATAGATGTCACATCACCATTCAACCTTCCATTTCTTTTGGCACCTGACAGACAACAGCTACGCAGTGTCCATGACCACCTCTCTAACAGCTAGCAACCCCTCACTTTTGTCTGGTTCTCTTAGGTCTGTGCCTAGAAGTGTTACCAGTGGTGCCTCTAGAGGGGAGCACTCACAGAGTAGCATTTCCTGTTCACAAACTACACAATGTCCTTAAAAGGACAATACCTCTTTCCCTGACCCATTGAAATCCTTTCTTTGTTTCTTGGCTCAGAGATATACCTGGCCTCTCACTCTTTTGTTTTCTTCCATTTTACTGCTTTGTTTTATTTCATGCTCTGTTTGATTGCTTTTATTCTGTTCTGTTTTGTTTGATTTTGTTATGTATGATGCTATGGTCAGCAAGTTTGTAAATAACAAGAGGAATTATGGTACCACATGGTTGATTTCTATTTTTCTGTTTTGAAGTTCTGTATTACTTTCACTATTTTGTTTTGATTGGCTTTATTCTATTTTGTTTGGTTTTATTCTCTTTAAAATAAAATTTAGATAAATGAAAGGGATCAAGTCATATATGGATGAGAGAAGGGGGAAAAGAGAATGAGAGTAAAAAAATAATTAACATGTGTTTTATACATGTACTAACCTCCCTTGAAGAATGAAACATTATGCACTACAAACTTACTAATAAATAAAGTGGTCTTCAAAACTTTTAGACACATCTGTGTATCTCTTAAACATATGGATCATTTTTAAACATAAGAACTAACATCATACTATAAGCTAACAGTAATTCTTGAATGTTACCTAATACTGAATTCACATTTCTTTAATTGCTGTATAAATATCCTAAATGATATTTTGAAGTTCATTTAAATCAAAATAAATTCTACACATTGTAATTATTTGACATCTCTTTTGATTCTTTCACAAATATATTTAATTGCATATGTGCTTTTTGTTGGAAAGATAATTATAATTTTATTTGGTCAAACCATTTATTTCTTTATTAATAAGTTGGAATATATTTATTTATGGCAAAACTTGTCACAATTTGTCTCAAAAGAAAAAGTTTTGACTTAGAAAACTGTTTTGGTGGTCAGTTTCAGGCCCAACATACAAAGAACTGACAACTCACCTCTACTCCCGCTGCAGCCAAGAGCCATCGGATGGACTCCATCCTACCCTGGATATTGAAATAGTGAAGCACTGGCTTCCCCGACATACTGATAGTCTCTTGGTTTCACTAAATGGAGAAAGCATGAAGTTATGAATACACAGAAGCAAACTGTACTTTAGGGTTATGGTTAGTGATCCAACAACACAGAAGGAGGATTTCTGCTTTTAAGGAAGCATTGCACAAGTGTCAGAAACTTCATTCTCCAAAATTCTTGCCCATCAGCAGCCACCATCTTGAAAGTGCACCAAACCTAGACAGGTGGTGATTAACCACATTTTGAACATGGAAACAGAACAGACTGGGTCACATGTTGTGAAAGGCTTTGTAAGTCTGAAAAGGTCCTTAAAATTTACAGAACATCTGTAACAGAGAGAAGGTGGCAGGAGGAAAGATCTTCCCCAACACTTGGGGTCCTGGACTGTATTTGTTCTTAGTCTTTTCTGACTGCTTATCAAAACCTAAATTATTGTTATGGGTGAAGGTACTTATTTTTCTTTCTATAATTCTATGTTTCCACTGCTGTTGTAAATTTATTTTATAATTTATAAAAGATGTAGTTGCTACATAACATAAGGAAAGTAACTAACAAATTTAATGCTTGTCACATAATAGGGAGTTTATCATTTTTATCACTAAATCATAAAAATTATTTGATTGGGAACTAGCTGCGTATGGTGATACATGACTGTAATCCCAGTACTTGAGAGACTGAGGCAGGAGGATCACTGTGAGTTTGAGGCCAGCCTGAGCTATATAGTGAGTTCAAGACCAACCAGAACTACTTAGTGAGATTTTGTCTCAAAACAGAAAAAAATAGAGAACCTTTATTGTACTAAGTTTTTGGGTAAAGATATTGGTATCTATGAAGATTACATTATGTGGAAATCTGACATTCAAGTACACTCTTATTTGACAAAAAGGTCTTACACTTCTCTGTGACACTGTTTTTACAACCTCTAGGTCAAGTCTTAGAGGAGGGGGGGCAAAATCAACACCTTACATTCTTAATTTTGTGGAAGAAATTTGTGTGTAACTCCATGTGCCTTATTAAACTAAAAGTCTCTTACATGTAAACTTGTTTGCAAATTTGAGACTAAATCCAACCACTCTTTGATTTCACTACTATTGAAAAAGGAGGAGGAGAAACAAGAAGAAAAACAAAGAGAGGGAGGAATCAAAGGGAAAGGAGCAGTAGGCAACAGAGGGAAGGAGAAAGAAAAGTAGATGAAGAAAAGAAGCAAAGAAAAGGAGGAAGACAAATAGCTTACTACTTGATGGCTGACGACAAGTAACGCAGGAATATTAACAACTGAGTGTGAAATCAACTACACAAGTGTAAGTTTAGATTCAGACTGGCAGGAACACATAATGGATTTCCATGCCAAACATTTAGCTTCAAGAGGCAAACACCCACCCATATCCTTTCTCTTTTTACTGAAAAACAGTTCTCCACACATGTCACCCTGCCAAACACAAATCCAGTACTATTGTGTGTAGACTCGTGGGAATCCCTCTAACACCACCTGTTTAGCAGAGAACACAACTTTATCGTCAGCTCCTGTTCACCCCCAGGTGCTGCTGTAGTTGTCGTATTACTTTTCTTATGGCATCAAATACTTTCCCTTCATTTTGTAAATTCTCTGCAGTGAGTTTTCATAAACAACCAATGGTTGAGGCATTAATTGTCCCCTGAATATCCAAAGAAGGCAGAAGACAATGAAGTACTCTAAGTATCACAGCTAACAACATTTTCCCAGTGAAACAGATGTAACAACATTTACGAAGATTTGAACAAGCAACACCAACCTGAGCAAAGTCCTGGCTGCTCTCTCCTGGGCACCTCAAAGAACTAGGATGAGTGTGGTGGCTGCTTTAATGTGGCAGCACCTCTTGCCTTTATAACAGGCCTGGATCCAGCAGGCACAGCCACTCCCACTGCTTTCAGGTTCCTCAGTGCAAGCCAGGTTAATCATTAACTAAATCATTAATGTTGCACCTCAAGATTATCTACGAATGCACTAAAATGTATTTCAAGTTCATTTAGTGCCCCCAAGAGCCATGAGGCTTCATATATCTTTGAACTATGCAAGATTTTTTTTTTTTTTTTGTCTTTTTCACACAGGATCACACTATGAAGTTCAGGCTGGCCTTGAGCTCACTTTGTAGCCAAAGCTGGTCTCAAATTTGCAAGGATACTCCTATCTCGGCCTCGTGAGTGCTGGGATTACAGGATAGCGCCTCTATGCTTGGCAAACTATGCAAGATTTATGACAACACAAAAGACTTGTGGAGAATGAAGACTTTGTTGTAGAATGGTGTTGGGAAACAGGTCTTGATAGAGAAAATCATCAGATAGCAATCTACATTTGTGGAATGGGCTAAATTATCAATACAACTGTATAATTCTACAGGGAATAGGAATCTGCTGAAGATGTCCAGCCCTGAAACGGACTCGACTGCATTAGCTGGCATATTTGCAAACCCTGCTCTTCTTGGCTGCCTTTCTCTCTTTAGCCTTTTTCTGTAGCTCGAGCCTCATGTGCACAGCTTCTCCTGCTAAGACCCCTGCTTTCTTGTGCCAGCCATCCTCTGCCCCCCTTTTGTATTGCTCTTCACTGCTGGGTTTATATCTCACTACTCTTTTGAACTGTGAGCCAGTACAGGGCATGTTTGCCAACAACTGTAAACAATATCTGAAGCAAATCCCAAACTTCATTTTGTTTAGTAAATAAGTGGTTTAATGTCTTTTAAACTTCTTGAATTTATTGGGGCTACAGAAAAATTACAGAACCAGTAGAACCCAGTAGATTTCAAACTATCATTTTCTCAGTGTCCTTTACTGAAAATATTTTATGTAACCTAAATCAATGATCAAATCAATGAGTTTCACACTGATATATAATTAGTTAAATATCTCAATTGTCTATACAGACCCACTTTGTAGTGCAGAAAAGCTTCCCACCCGACACTGTGCTTTCCTGCCGTGTCTGCCTGATCTCTTCACTATGTGGCAGGCGCTCATGACAGACTTGTCTTCTACAATCTTGGCACTTTGGAAGAATACTGCTTGGTTACTTTATGGATCATCCCTCAGTGGTAGTCTGCCTGAAATTCTTGCATGATTTGATTGCAGCTATACATCCCAGAAAATATCCCAGAAGTTAGGTGGCCCCTTTCTCAGTTTGTGATATCCAAACATAATATTACACCCTAGACATAATACATTTCATTACTGGTCATGTTAACCTTTCTTTAAAGTTATGTCAGGCTTCTCAATTGTTTACTATTTATCCCTCTGGAATTAATAAATGTCTTGTGAGACATCCTTCATAACCATGAAAACATTCTCCTGTGGGAGACAATTCCAATGATTCCCTTTGAATCCAAAACAATTACTGTGACTTTGATTACTTGGAGACTCATTTCCTTATACTGATATGTAAAAGGCTGGCTAGGTTTTTCCTTCTCTCTTCAGTTGGCCCTGTGCATTGCAAACAAGGCTAGCTGAGGTGCTAATGTCCTAATATGCAACATCTACAGCTATCAGACAGTCCTGTTTCCTCACATAGTGCTCTCCACAATACAGGATTGAGCATGACAGATGTTAGAGCAAATAGCTTCAGGAATGTCAACTGGATAGCAGCCCCAAGATAAAAGGCTATGACTTCCCTGGGCACTAGATTTTATATATAAAAAATCAAAGAGATAGCCCCCCCCAAAACAATTGCACCGCTACCTTAATTGGGTTATGTAAATTGATCTTCTGCATATCTTTGTCTCTGCAAATTACAGAGATGCCATTCTAGCACCTGGCCAGCCAGCTCAAATTAGTTACTCAGTAATCCCCCCACCACATCTTCATGGTCACTCAGGTCTTAGCCACTCCCCTTTCTTCACAAGATAGTAAATGCTGAGAGAGACCTAGGATCCAGGACTTTGTCTGCACACCCTCACCAGGATTGGACTTAGGATCCCTTGGCTGCCCTTAGCTTGGAACATGTCTTGGTGTCTTTACTCTTGCCTGTGGGTTGGATTAGTGGTGGTAGATTGGAATTAGCTTGCTACGATTCCAATAACATCTAAATGAGATTACAAATATAACCTTCTGGATTGTGAGGAAAACTAGAAAGAGGATTATAATACTTGGATGACTCAACTCAATATTTGGGTTTACAATACTCCTTTTGAGTAAGCTTGTACTCACTAGTTTTACCATCTATAATAGATCTTGCCCAGGTCAAATATCACTATGCTGTTTATTGTTCTCAACTATTTACTTATACTAGGATAGGCTTACAAGTATTTTAAGTGTTGCAAGATACATTTTGATCAGCAAATTTTCCTTTGAGAGCTCCTTCCTGGTGGCTTCTGTGTTCTTCCTGGCAAGCCCTCTCCACATGAGCATTTCCAGATACTTTCTTTAGTGAAAATGTTGCATGGGCATATTTATTTTTCTGCTCCAGCTCCACTTTCTTCCACTTTTCAAATGATCCTTGTTCCTGTTTTGTTTATTTGTTTGTTTTTGTTTGGGGGCAAATTATTTAATTTTAGGAAGTGGGCTCTGTACCTATTTGCTGCTTCTGTGGTTCATGTGCTGCTAAGCTCCATGGTGGGACATTGTTTTCCCATACTCATAGGCTACTTATCTAGCCTATCTGTCATGATAAAGACCTAGGATTTGGCTCTGTCTCCTGCTGGGTGACTCAGCAAATATTTATCCTTCTGATGGTCAAGGTTCTTACTCATAAAAAGCATATAGTAGCTATCTTTATATTGTACCATGTAATTCATCAGCTTGGTCAACTTTCCTAGCAATACCTGGTTATATCTTGATACCTGGGTCCTCCAGAGAATCAGATGTGGATGACCTTTATGCTGTAACTGAGTTCATTTCAAGTGCCATTGCTGCTGACCTGCCATGAATCCGGCTCTCAGTTTGCCAGTTCCTCAATGACAAGTCTGCATGATGTAGACAAATACTTTACTGAGGTTGTTTACTGTGGTGACTTTGTGGCTGGTTTTGGAATTATCATACCTTTTCTTTATAGGCCAGAAGCCATTATGATCACTTCTCAATATTTTATAGTTGTATTTGTTTAAAATGCATTTTAATAAATACATATTTTGGTGCCATCAATTCTAAGAATTTCACAAGAGCATATACTTTCCTCATTTTTCTACATTTCCATTGCTTTCTTTGCTAATTTTTAATACTGGTGCTTCCACTAAACATTTACAGAATTATGATGATATATTCTATACAAATATTGTTCATTTGTATATAATTAACTACAAGAGGCCAGTAAATTTTTCTGTAGCATTCTTTTTCTCCAAAATGAAGGGAAGAATGCTGTAATTGATTGATATCTTTAACCTTTATTTTTACTAAGCATATTATACAAACAATATGCTATATTTGATAATAGCTAAACAGTCATATAACCTTAAAGCAGTACCAGTTGTGAAGTGTATCCTTCTTTAATGTCCATTTGATGTTAAATTGAATTAGCAGTGTGTCTCAGCACTACACTACTACTGTACAAGCTGTATAGGGGTGAGAATGCAAGGTAAGAAGGAATGTTTCCAACCAGTAATGAGAATCCTGTATGTCAAATCTTATATCTGCTAGATTTTCTCAATCAATAAACCAGCAGCAACTGGAAGCAAGTGAGGGTCTCACACCAAATTGGGTAGAGATGGGAAGGATGATGAGGGTAGGTGGGAGTGATGGGTAACAGAATATCCAACCACCTAGCGAGGAGGACATTTTTTTAGGAATACCCAGATCATGTGTGTTTTGAGAGATGATACGTATTAACATCATCTGTGTGGCACACTGGTGGACAAATGACTGACCTGGGGATCATTATAATTCTGTAGGGTTGTGTGGGACTGGAAACTGCATTCCACAAGGCCTCTTTTCCCATGCATACTGTATCCAAGTCTGAACTCAAGGTGGTGAAGTTCATTTACAGAAGCCAATGCACTAGTTAAGACTAGTCCATATAGTTTGCGTTACATTCCTGAACATTAATTACTCTGGAAATTGCTGAAACTTGACAATTAGTTCCTTGTGGTCTTATCCTTTGTATTCATTCCTATTTGAACACACAATCATTGTGTCCTTTGTCCCAAGATTCTGGCTGAAATCAATTCTCATTCACTGGACACCTGAGATCACTGCTCCCCTATCTTTCTGACTTCATGGTGTATCAGTGTTTGCAAGCTCTGCTTCCATGATGTGTCTGACATCATCATCTCTGCTTTAATCCCATCTTCCTGAATGTGCACCCCAATCCTAGGACTCTCCTATCACTATATTGTATACACCCAGGCCCATCATGCTGCTGTTCATGGTCCCCTTCCCATGGTCCTTCTAATTTGAGATTGGATCCAAATTTTTTTGTGCACCACCTATTGATTTAAGAAGAGAACTTGTATTGTTCAGAGCTCATTCCTTTATCTCTTTCCTATAAAGATCATATCTGGTGGCTACTGATTTGAAAAGGCTCCAGGCTCCATCTTCTCCCCACCATGAGCACTTTTGCAAATATTAAACTCCTGTACTTCAGAAATAGGAAAGAAAAAGGACAGAGAAAAATCTATGGGACCCACTGCTTCAGGATGAAAAAAAAACTATCCAAATGGCTGAAGATTTTAAAATATGGAAAAAAAAAAAACTCTTAAAAATGTAACCAGAATATGTCAAACTTAAAATTAATAGTAACTTGTTAATATCATTTAATATTAATGAATGGTTCCATTTCTGTTGCATAATTGTTATAAATCCTCATGACACTTCTTGTGAGCTAGGAGTTACTATATCCATTTCAAAATGAATAAAACTGAGTATTAATGAAGATAAATGCGGCTCTGCTATCCCCTCCATTCAGCGGTGGACATGAAAATTTAAACACAGCTTCCAAGACTGAAAGAAAAA